ATGCCATTGAGATTCACTTGCCCCTTCCCAAACCGTGAGGTTTCCTATCATACTCACTTTGTAAAATGTAATAATTAAGATAATTAAATAGACAGCTATGTGTAATGATACAGGAATACTAAACTTTTGACAAGAACAAGTAGCAATGCATGTAGAAACCCTACTGGTCTGCCTAATAAAAGTATGTGGTGTTTTACCTCTCTTCCACCAGCCCCCACTACCAGTTTCAATGACAACTCTTGGCATGATTCTCTCAATTTTTAGCTATCTGTTCACTAAGGAAGTCTTAAGTCACACCCATTTACTTTCTCTTCCACTGACAGGTTGCTGAGAAGTTCTCAATAGTCTACAGACTCTGCACACTTCCTCTACTTCTCCACTTATTTTTTGCAATTCCATTTATAGATTGATCTTTGGTTTAAAGATGGCATTTCGCACACCCAGAGAACGGGATTAGGTGATATTGTTGCATCTATCAGTAGGTGATTAGATCTGATGAGCCAGAACATCCTCTTCTGTCTCAAGTTCTAATTCAACCTCTACCTTTATCAGCCTGTCCTCAATTGTCTCTTCCACCTTGAACAAAGAGAAGCTCTAATTACTGTTCATGAACAGTCTACTCTTCTGGTATGGCTCTCGGGCTATGTTTTTTACTAAAACATATGCCATTCAGCCCTTCTTTTTGTGACATCCACATCCTTCCATTCCCTTGTTAACACTCTCTCTTTTTGTTCATCCTTAAACATTCTTTCTCTTCTAGTGCTATCCATTAATTTATAAACATCCCAGTAAAGCACCTTCCTGCTTCCTCTGTTGTACTTCCCTCTGGATTCTTCCTAATCAGTTCTTCAATCTGCTAAATTTATCCATATCACAAACATATTACAGAATTTCTGGATCCAGAAACCTCTCCTGCTGGTGTCATACTCTCCTTGGATGACATTCACAAGCCCAACTTCCTCCATTACTTTTCATCCTTGCCTTCAACCTATCTTGTTTATGAAAATCATTTTGAATTCTTCTATCAATCTGAAATTCTCACCTCTTTTCAACTTCAAAGCTCTGATTCATTGCAGAGGAGCGATCACTCAGGAAAAAAATCAGTATGGTGACAATTGAAGATATTAAACTGTACTCATCCAGTTTTAAATTCCAAAGCCTCTGCAGCCAATTCCACTGTCCCTAACTTACATTACATTAAAATCCAATGTCTCAGAACTTAGTATCTAAGCAGCTTCCAAATTCTATCAGTTCTTACATCAGTATTTCCAGAATACATTATCTACTTCCTTACTCTTACCCTTAAGTTTACGTGATACTTCCATTATCTGTTTATTTTTGAAATCATATGTTTAAGTCTCACCTTGGTGCTTCCTTTTAATTGGCCTGCTGTGCTAGAAGCTTGTAAAGCCACCGTACAGCCTCTTATCAAATCCCCACTTAAACATCACCTTATTTTGAGCTCATTTAAATACACAAAATTAAAATGAGAACAAGTATATCATATCAGCTGTAAGTCTACAAGAAACAGCATTCTCCAAAGTGTTTATTGTATTTCTGTGGAGGAAAACTATCCACGTATCTTCTTTTCCTTTTCATACTTACTTTTATTATCATTTTACTGATTAAGAAGCCTTCTCAGTTATAAAAATGTTACCAAGTGTTTCTTTGAAAATTCTGTATTTATGGATTTACAGATATAAACTTTGTTTACAATTAAGCACAACTTAAGTTTTTATTTATTGATCTACACCTAAGTCTATTAAGTTTCTGTCCACATGTATAAACTTCTTAATTTTCTTTACTGTGTCATTTTAGCACTCTAGTGGTAAAAAATAACCTAAAGAAATGGAAAAACATAGTTGGATTTCTAGAAGAAGTACAAATGTGTTTTCAGACAAGGCTGCACCTCCAGTTTCAGTTGCAGGAATTCTGTGAAAGATCTAAGAACTAATACTGATGTCTGTCGTGTATAAAGTGTATAAACCCATTATTTTTAAGCTACAGCTTCCTAAATTAGATTCCACTTCGTTTCCTCTGAAAATAACAAACCAACGGTTATCTTTCCACTTTACCTGTATATATATTAAATTCAGTAAGCTGACATGCCAATTTCAGATAATGAAACTAAGACACCATTTGAAAAACACAAGAGGTTTTCTCATAAAAATGTCCAGGCTAAGGCACAAATGTCAATACTTTGCAAATCAGATAAAACCATCCTGATTCTGGAAGGACAAACAGCCCTTCATCTCATTAATATCCAGAGAATTTAACTGTGCTATGCTTTTTGAAAAATCAATTCATTGGTATGAAGAAGTCTAGAAAAGAACGTACATGCCCAACTTTCAGCTACTTAATAAAAAAGCAATCTTAACATCTTAATTAAGCCTCTAAATTCTGGAATATGATGAGAGGTTTGAAAAACAAAGAGCCATGTTAAGCTGGTGATATCTGCAATCTCCTTTTATTTGAAAGGTAATTATGTCCATATGCCAGACATCAAAACACAACCTTTTCTGCTGATATGTTGCAGGTAAAATGTACTTTCACTGGTGCCAAGGCCTGACTTTGGGTCACGGTTACAGCCTATTTTTGCTACATGATGAAACCAAGAAATCCACTTTAAATTACAACCTCTAAAAATTGACTAACCTTTTGGTATTGAAGTTGGAATGAGACAATTCAAAAATCCCATGAGTTTGAGGTGAAATTAGTTGTGAAACAGCTGGAGGGGGAAGGGAGACATATCTGAAGGAAGTATACTGAGAGCAGCAGGACTCCCTTTAGGAGAGAAACAGAGAACAGTTAGTGAAAGGAAGCAGGATAAATAATGTGAGAAGAACAGTGTCTATAAAATGAAAAAGGGATATCGAGAGAAAAATGTGTTGAAAGCAGAAGTAAGTCTTAATGGAAAGTGGAACAGAAAAGGGAAGCAAAGAAGTCTTACCTCTCAATCTGTAATTATCTGCTTCTGATTAAGATGCAAAACACTGTGAGAGGTAAGTTATTATAGAATAAAGTGACATGGGGGATTTGGGAGTCTCGTAGAGAGCTGGGATGAAGAGTCACTCAAACGAGTAACAGCTAGTTCTTCAAGTGTTCTGACCAGGACTAAGTTGACAAGGGTACATACATTCCCTAAAACCTGCAGCTGGGCCAGACGCAACGATAACTCAAAACACAAGGGATGGTAGGTAGTGATACTCGTACTTTAGGCATCATTACATGTATGTGTATTTCATGGAATGAATCTAGCATTATTAATGTCCTTTCAAACTTACACTGCAGTGTCATTCAGCTTCTCAACACGAGGCAGATATCAAGCACTGGTCCAAGCACTAAATCAAGCACAGTCTCACGCTCTGAATAGGTGACACCTGTTTGGAAGCACTTATAAGAAAAAAAGGGATTTATTTTCTAAAAACTAGAGGCAAACACTAGTTCTAGGGAAGGCACTACCTTCCTGCTAAAGCATGAGGCTAAGATCCAAAATACACAGAGCCACTAAATGCTAGAATCATCCAGGACTTAGTCTTGATAACTGTATCCCTGCATAACAAAACTCATCCTGCAGTTGCAGCTAAATAGAACATGTTTTTATTTTAGGCTGCGGTATACATCTCCTGCCACTCATGGCTTATGGGTTAGTATGGCTACTAAGAGTTGACCTGCCACCAAGGAAAGAAATTTAAGAACCATGGTATCTTCATATTGGGTAAGAGATAACCCAAACGGAAAAGTGTGTGCATTACCTATGTGCCAGGTGCAAAATAAAACCCAATTTAAGCAATTCCACTATTCGCCAAGCAGTATTACTGAAGTGCTATCATTACTACGCCAAAAAAAGAAAGAGTATAAATTCCATGTACCTTTATGTAAGAAAAACATTGTATTTTACTTTATTAGTTAGTTCTGTAATACTGCTAAATCGCTAGAATTGGTGCAGTATTACTACTGCACATGTCCTTCATAGACCTGACTAAATCTTAGAAGTCCCAGTACCAAATCCTAACGCAGTGGCTACAAAAAGCTCTCATCCACTTCTCTTCCATGATGGAAAAAATTCAGACTGTATTTGGGAAAGTTAAGAAAATGTTTATGGTCACTGACATCAGAGCAAAATGCCAGCCAACCAACCTCTGTCTGCGGAAAGGACGCAGCGTTATTGTGGGAACTGTTAAATGCAGCAAGTTGCAGCTGTGCTCACAGACCAACTGTATTGTCACTCCATTTATTTAGTGTACTTACTCAGACATTTCTAGGACAACTTCCTTCTAGAAATGCTCCCTCACTATGGAGTGTGAACTACAAGGTGGAATATAAATGTATAGCTTATGCAAAAAGAAACTGTAATCGCACATTCTAAAAAAAGGCCAGTCGTCTCACTACCACTGCCTCACTGAAAGAAATGAATCATTATTGCATAATTTCCTCTGAAGATAACAGGAAGTCTCGATCCTTACTTCAACACTGGATTTGGTTCAATGGCTTATCTCATTTTCTTATAAAACACTATCATCATCTAGTGGTATATTTTGCTACTAGGTAAACTGCATGTTCTGAAGATGAAAGCATTTCATTTGCTTAGCATTAAACATTTACAACAAGACATACATTTAGCATCTCGCAGTCATGCCAAACTATGTGGAGGCGGGGGTGGAAGATGAGGTAACATGAAATAAACTTGACAGAACTGTTGAGGATATTGAGAACAAACAACATGCCGACATTTTACATGACGAAAGCTTCTGTCCAAAAGTGAAGACAGACTAAGTGAAAAAATACAGCTGGAGGATGCTTCACATCCTCATTCATACCAGCCCTAAAGTATAAAGGGATACGAGCAAACATTTTGAAAGAAAGCCTCACAGTTTTTTCAAGCAAAAATATTTTTCATGGTTTTTCTTTCAATCTGGGGGGGAGTACACTTCCTATGTCCAAAAGTCCACTATTACGAACATACAACCAGAATCTACACAAATAAGTTGTTGACTTACGTGGTAACTTTTCAGTCTAACAAAATCGACTTTCATAGAGATGAACCTTTCTGAATTCCTGATGAGATTTTTTATGTGCTCCACGAGGTCAGCACAGAACTTGTAGCCACCTTTGAGGACACAGAGAACTACAATATCATTGTCTCCAATGTCTTGCACAATATCTTTGGCCAATCGTTCTGTCCTGCACATAAAAAAGAAGGATAAAGTAACATTAGATGCAGGTCCTCTAAGCTCAAGGTATGCTTTCCATGAAGTTACAGAGAGACACTATGGTGAGCTTGACTGACAGCCTGTCTAAGTGTCTTGACTTGAGTGGGTTTGGATCGAGTTCACGGTAGGCAGATGTACAGCAATGGATGCAAGATGCAAATCAAAGTCGTTAACCTGATATGCATGAACTCCCCAGTTATAGAAAAGGAAGTAACACATCTAAGTGTGTCGAATTTATGAGCATTTCAGAGACTCTGGAGTAAAGAATGCAACCCAGTCTTCAGTTTCACCTCAAAGGAAACATCCATACAAAATATTCTTGTATAAGCCCCTAACTTGTTCTGTTACCAACTGTGCAAGAACAATAAATTAAGTGAAAGATAGAGAATTATTAGAAGTATTTCACACTCAGAGGCTTTGGAAGACACTACTCCTACAATTTTAATTAAAATATACACAGACACTATACAGAAATACAGCATAAATCAAAATTTTATAAAGAGTGAACATTATCACTGTTTCACACAACAAAAAAAGAGGAGTTCAAAGGGCTTAAGTGGCCTGTTCAAGGTCACACACAGGAGAATCACCAAGGCTATGCTCCAGTTAACCCAGAATTGCAAAGTTCCGTATCTGTCTTCTCTCTGACAATTCCGCATTGTGAACACAAAGTGGCAGATGACTGAAACCAAAAGACACCCACTTCTGCAATAGAACAGTACATACGTTTTCAAGATAAAAGTAATAAAGGTGAACGCTCATCTTTAGTTTTGCTTTCTGAAGCACGAGGTAGATGGCATTTCTAGACCTAAACCAGGGTACCGGGTAGTTTGTAGATGTAAAGCAGGTACCAACAGAAAACTGAACGATGTTAGTTGATGTTTGGAGGAAATACAGCTCAGTGCATTATTGTTTGAAAACACTTTTTGCTGGAAAGTTGTTAGCTCCCTGAATTAAATCAGCAGTTTCAGTGAGAGTGGACTTCTTGACAGGATGCAATTTATTAAATACTCCTGCAACTTCTGCATGTCTTTCACGATGACATTTTTCATATTATTGTTTTCTTTACCCATTGTAATCTGGGAATCCATTTGCCACTACATAAATACAATGGACTTTAGTGACATCTACATGTGTGCATGTACCAGAGAATAAGCTCTCAACTGAACATAATATACTAGTTATGAGCAAAAGGTGTCGCTTCATTTTCCTATCTTTGTATTGTAATGCTCAAATAAATTCCATATAGAAGCAATTAGTATTTTTTTTAGATTTGAAAAATAGAAGATATCATTAGATCATCTTGTTTGACCTCAAATTTATAATCCCTTTTACTAATATAAGAATGAAGATTAACAAAAGACTTTCCCTTTCTTTACTGAAGATTAGTAAAATAGTCTTTTATCACTTTTTCTCCAGTCTGAGCATAATGGTGAAAACCTCTCATTAAGAAGAAACAATTCTCTGGTGATTTTCTTTTTTTTTTTTAATTCTTCCTCAGATTGTTTGAGGAGCTGAAATTTCCAAAAATTTCAAAGACCACTTTGTATTTTAAAAGAGTATGAACTTCAGCATAGCCAAAAATGTATTAATTTCAATTTCTAAATTAAAAAAATCCTATAAATCCTTTAAATCCTTTAAATTTTAACCTATATTTAATTGTTACCAACTGATGAGAATTTTCTCAAGTCCTGAGCCTTCTTCCTACATTAAAATTTTGCCTGATCACAATATATTCAGTTCTGTGTCCTATTCCATTAGAACAGAATCAGTCTGTTCTGCTGGAGTAAGAAAAAGCAGTGGAGTTCATTCCTCTGGAGTACAAAAACAACACTGGAGTTCAATGCTTACCTCAATTGCACTTACAATGAATTCTATGAGAACTGAAGTTGTAATGTATTTATTTTAAAAAGAAGAGTTAAAAAAGTCAGTTGACCCTAACCAGAAGAGATTAAAAATTCAACACCACAGTAACTGAAAAGGCAATGAAAGAAAGCTTGTGTTTAAAAACAAACACAGGAGTCATAAGTCTTCCTTATGATGGATGTTCACAATCTTCTTTCAAGGAGTTCCAGCAATTTCAGTACTTGCAACCGGCTGTTTAAATGCGGTAGGTAGAAAGCTGCAGGCTGAAAATGTCCCATGAAATTCCATTCAGATATTCCCAATAAATACACTCTTGCCAATTACCATTTCCATCTTGTAACCTTTCGTAAGATTCTTACCAGTATGTCAAAATCATAACTGAGCATGAACACTGAGCTGGACTACCACAAACACCAAAGCATCAGCAAATGCCGACACTGAGAACGACTACAAGGTAAGGAATGAGGGATGACCAAGCTTTTCCACTGCCACCCTCCGAACCTAGCATCTGGACCCAAACAGCCCACAACTCACTCTTCAGCTGTGTCAATGGCAGAAGTCAGTGGTGCAGCCAGGAACTATTGGGTTAATCAGCATTAATGATTTGTGGATGACAGGCTTGATAAAAAAGAGTAATATGACTGACCAAAGAATTTATCTAGTAATATTCAAACTACACGTACCTGTCAACAATAATGCCATGAGGTATGAGCACATATTCCAGATCTCCATAGTAATGCTGAGGATAAGTGAACAAATCCAGGCTGTATCCAGGCCAATTGTCTGAAATCTGCATATCAAACAGGATTGTTAAGAATACTTCATGGTGTTTGAAAATATGTAACCGATACAAATTCAGTGTTCTAGTACACCCTATTGGCTGAAGTAATCATGTGACATACTCTCTTCTAGTTACAATTTACTGTTTCTCTTTTTCTATTAATTATTTTATTTCTCAGCATATCTCAGAAATCGAAAGCTGTATTTTGTGCCCACAAAACGTGTGAAATTTTACCTGAAATTACAAACAATTAGATGGAAAGAGGAAATATTGAATACTAAACTACTAGCAAGCCTAAGTTTGTTACTACTTTCAAACTCGAAATGCAAATGGGCGATTACCAGTAAGAAGGGATTCTCCATTGAGAGATTCAGAGAGTGGGATTAAAAGTCATAAAACCATACATTAAAACTGTACGTTTCTGGTTTAGAGGTATTTTAAAGTTGCACATAAATAAATAAATATTCTACAGGTGAAACAGCACACAGGAAGAATAAATTTTGGGGTTCACAGATGGTACCTGTACAAATCAGTGGTAGCAGGTAAATCCTGCCAAAGGTGATTACAAAATATTTGCATCTCACCTCACTATCAGCTAGTCTGTAAATCCATGTATTTACAGAAAAAATATTTCACAGATTTAATATATGTTAGTGTCAGGAGTATGAGAATACAACAATCAAGATCCCACGGCATACAAAGGCAGTAGAGATTAAGTAGGGCAAACATCAGCCAACAGGCTTCAGAAAGCTATGAAAATGCAAAGTCATGAGCACTAGAATTGAAAAAACTCCAACGCTTTTCACAATTCTGTATGAAACACAAGACCTGCAGGTTCTCAAGGTATCTTGGAATCATTACAAAGTTTTGCTTCAATACTGGTTCAGTCTAAAAAACAACACCTAATAGGTTTTCTTCAGAATCATGTTCCTCAAGTCACATACACAGCGTGGCCACATGAACCTTGAGCAGGATAAACAGGGAGAAACTTGCCTTTGTGGAGCACTGGTTTTAATGGCACGTCTGCTAAATACAGCCTTTAAAAACCACCACTGAATCCAACCTCTGCTTACCATTTCATGTCGCAGAGCAATAAACCACGTCTCAAAAATATCTAGGCTAACACAAGATATTTGATGTTGAGCTCTTCACATCCAGTCTTCTTGAACTCGGGCATAGCCCTGCCTGATGCTGTACTGAAACAGTGGTTTGCCTCAAGCATTTTTGTTTGGTTGGGTGTTTTTTGCATATTCACTGACAGCTAAAGACACCTCAACTGTCGTGTTTTCTCAACTCTGCCCAACAGTTTCTGCATCAAAAAAAGTTATTTGTTGGTAACTACTACTGAACATTTGCTCATAAAAGCACGATTCAGAGGTCACTGAAAATCAATGAAAGCTTTTCCCCTGACTTACACAAGCCTTGGAACTACACGTAAGAAGAAAAGTTACTTAGTTCCTCATTTCCATAGAAACAGGAGATTATAAATATCCTCTTTGGCAAGGCTTTTAATTAGAGGCAAATCTTGCTCCAAAAACACTGCTCCAGAAAGCCTGGGAAGCCTATTTTTCCATCTTCAGTTTCAGTGCATAGGGGTGGCTGACTCTTTTTAAACATTTTGAAGCAATGAACTGTCTGCCATGGTTTTGCTCAAAAGCCTTTAAACATAAAATGAAACTATTTCAGACAGTGCTTTAGATTGCCTAAGTACTATAAACACCCACTACGAACGCTTGTCAGCATTGCTTACTTAGGCATTCTCGTCAAATTGCGTGTTTCCAGCGCCATGCAGAAGATCGAGCCAAATGGATGGAAACTGCTTCAGAATTCATACAAACCAAAAGCTTTTATTTAAAGAAAGCCCTTTATGAAACAGGATCAGGATGAAATGTTGATTCTCCTATCTATCCTGATTCTGTTGAATAAAAGAACATAAACTGAATCGTAGAATCACAGAATGGTTTGGGTTGGAAGGGACCTTAAAGATCATCCAGTTCCAACCCCCCTGCCATGGGCAGGGACACCCTCCACTAGACCAGGTTGCTCAAAGCCACATCCACCCTGGCCTTGAACACTTCCAGGGATGGGGCATCCACAGCTTCTCTGGGCAACCTGTTCCAGTGCCTCACCACCCTCTCTGTGAAGAACTTCTTCCTGATACCTAATCTAAACCTCCCTTGCATCACTTTGCAATAATATGGAAGTTGTCCCTTACAAGTGCCCAATGACATTTGACAAATAAGACTAAATTCACATATAATCTCTAATTAATTATTCTTGTAATAAGCCTATTTCATATTGTTCTTACTTTTGAACAGGCACTTCCCAGCAATAAGGCTTAGAAATTCTCATTTACCCTAAGGCTATTCACAGCGTTATGCTATAGGCCAATTTTCAAGTAACTGTAAATTTTTGTGAGTATTCTGCTTGTGAATTTAAAAAAAAAAAGTAAAGTGATTATCCTCAGTTTAATAGCTAAGCATCAAAAAGTATCTGCCCCAAATTAAACTCAACTTCTATTTACCTCTGGCTTTAACCCTTGAAAATAGGAAGGAAATATTTGTGATTTTTTCAACAAGAAGACTGCATTCAGCTGGATGAATAAATGTGTATCTTAAATATACTGGTACACAGTGTGTACAGAGAATCCTGCAGTGAAAGAAAGAGGTATTTTTAAAGTTCACGCTTGTCATGTTCAAACAGCCCAGCAGAAATTCTTCAGGAGGTCTTCAAAAAGTTGATGCGAATGCATACAAAAAGGAATACAAATACACGGCAACAGCCAAAAGCGTTCCCTGGAGGTGTAGGAGAGAAGCTGAAGAGATTCTACTGCAACCGCTTCGGAAGAACACCGCTGGTTTTGCTGCCTGGCAAGGTGGGTACACGTGAGGTTCAGGCCCAGTATTCCCTTCAGAGCAAGGACAATGCGGATTCTGCTTTGGTATAAAATAAAGGAGCGAGCATCGAGTGAAGTGCAACCTTTGTAAACCTGAATCGTACTGGACTGGCCGTACTTTTGGCTGCTTTATGGGGGAGTGCCTACACTTTGTGTGCAGCAAGCAAAAGAAACTAAGTCCGTACAGCACAACACGGCTGTGAGCATTCATCTGCTCCTCTGCCATCCTCACGTCGTTTTGTGCTAAACAGTCACCCACTTTAAAAATGTCATTTATTACACAGGTGTCAGTAGAGGTGGCTGGTGCATGGCGGTTTCGGGCAGAGCTCGATCAGAGTGCAGCGGGTTTCCCTGGAAGGGAGATGGAGGGGAGGCTGGCACAGACAGGGGGCAACCGCTGCCGGCACAGAGCCCTCTCAGCTCGGCCTCCACCTGGGCCGCAGTCCTGCAACTCGGTTAAAATCCCAACCCACCATCAAATAAGAACGCACCTAAGGTGGTGGTGACAGTGATGGCACTTGTTTCACGGGACAATCGGGTCTGTCCCTCAGAATGACGGGCATACCCGTTTATCTTCGCATAATCCGTTCAGCCCTCAGGTACCCAGCGCTCGCTGCCGAAGCTGGGGCTCCTTCCCACCGCAGAACAACAAGGAGCAGGCTAAAGGCGTGCTCTTACAGCGCTCCCAGACCCTCAGAGGCCTCCAGGCATTCTGCATCCCGGTCTCAATTCCTCACG